CCCCCCCCCCCCCCCTCTCGTGGCTTCCACACACCGCTCCGTTTGTTCACGGGTCCACTCCGAGGCGCCCAGGAAATAATCGAGTAAAAAAATGCCTTTAAGCTTGTCCACTGCACATTGATTAGGGTGCAAATAGTCTACTGTAAAGGTTCTGCAGGGTTGCTACATCCCGAAAGGAAAGCACTATTCCCAGTGACAATGGGGAGAGGCCCAGAAACTGTTGCCAGTGAGAGAGTCCCCATATCCCCATATTCCCATCTTTCAGCTACTAAAAATGTTCTAAATTAATTAAACAAAATAGTTGGAACTAAGTAAATCAGTACAAAACTGTATATATAGACAATGTCTATTTTTTTTTGGTAGTGTTTAATTTTTAAAATGCTCAACTTATCGCACAATGATTAAGTGTCCAACGCTAAAATCGGCCTCTTGGCAAAAAAAAAAAGAAAAAAAAAGAAAATATATATAGATCTATATGTGAGGCAGCATGGTGGAATCAGGCTCTCGTCAATTTTTGGACACGTAGAGTTATTGGTATCATCTTAAAGCTTGTTCGCTTGTTTTTATTTGGACTAAAATAATATCCGTTTATCTTAAATACAAGTCGAGATATTTGCGAATGAAGAAGGTGGGGATCACCTGTTTCCAGAGGTGAAATTAGTGACAAAATGGCCGCCAAAAATTACTTATTTCCTTAGCTTAAGAGTCCGTGGTAAATGAAAGTTTACATCTTTTGTGCCTTTAATCACCGTTTTTCAGAAAAATCCACATATAAATGAGTTCTTTAATGGGCATGAAAGGTGTTGAGCCCAAAAACAAAAACTTTGATAAAAATTCACAAACCTGCGGAAAAAAGCAAGTTTCTTTATTTTGATTATTTTGACGAGAGCCTGATTCCACCTCGCTGCCTCACATATATATTTTCAAACTCTTTGAAGGAGGAGAATTTCGAGCCCTCTTCTATTTGTATTGCAATTTTGTTTCGAAGTGAAAATTCAAAGGCTAAGACTTCTGATTTTTAATGCAAAAGAGTTCCGTTGTCACCGGGAATATTATAGTTTCTGTACCTATCCCCAGTGTCACTGGGAAAAGTCACTTCGATCCCAAAATTACAAAGTTTAAGGCCTATCTGAAACTTTAGGCCGTTTTGAGTTACTAAAGCCATGTGGTCAGAGAGCAATACAATTTATTGTATTTAATGCTCTATCTACTCTATCAAAATCGTAAGAATTTTAGGTGTCGATATCAAGATATTCAAAGAATTACATTAAAAGGAGCTTGGCATATTGTGAAACTGAACGATTTTGACGTCAAATTTCTCAAACTAAGTAGGCTACTAAGCAGATAGAACCTTGTAATTTTGAGGTAGCGAAATCATGACGTCACCCGTTTCGGTTTGGCTTTGTATAAAAGGAAGTACATTGACACGAGAAAGGTCATTTACAAAACAAAACAAAAAGCAAGAAATACAACAATCGTTAATTATTATAAGGCAGCGTTGTAAAATCAGGTGCTCGTCAAATAAAGAAAACGAAGAAAATGGCATTTTTCAACCAGTGGGGCAATTTTTTATCGAATTTTTGGGTTTTGGGTAAACATAGTTTATGTCCATTTAAAAACATTTCCGTATCGATTTTCACAAAAAAACATTGATCAACAGCCCCCAAAGATGTAAATTTTGCGTTTCTGGTCTCAAAAGCTCTGGCAATTGCCAAAATTTGGCGGCCATTTTCTCAATAATTTTACCTCTGCTACAAGGCGACTCCTACCTCTTTTAAAAATAAATAACTCGACTTGTATTTAGGATAGATGAGTAATTCTTTCACCATTATTATTCAAATCAAAAGGCTATAAGCTATAAGATTATACCAATAACTTCGTATGCCCAAAAAATGGACCAGCGCCTGATTCCACCGCGTCGTGACACTATTTAATTTATGAAGTCATCAGATAGATATGTTTAAGTGCTGTTTCAGTCGCAAGATATAATATACAGAATGAAACAACAGAGGGAAAGAAAGTAAGACGGACGTACAAAAGGAAGTTCCAAACCACCCGTTGTCCCCTATCCGTTAACCATAATATCGTTCAGGGTAGAGAAATACTGCTTCAGAATACATTATTCTTGAGCTACAGTTACCGTCATGCTAAATTGGACGGCATACGCGCAGCCTCGTTCGTACTGCTAGGTGAATGCATTTGACCTTATCTTACCTATACATTATATTTTGATTTGAGAATGATTGCTAAAACATGCTGAAACCAAATCCTGCAAATCAAAGGCTTTGGAAATTGTGATTGTGATTTTTGCCTACCCCCCTCCCTCCCTATCTCCTTCCCCACCTACCTACCAACCTCTCTGCCTATATAATATCTAACTATACCTGTCTACCTTTAATTTTATCTGAACCCTAACCCTAACAAAAACCTTAACCCTAACCAAACCCCTGACTTTACACCTCCTGTTCCCTACTCACATATCTACCTGTCTATTTATCTATCTATCTATCTATCTATCTATCTATCTATCTATCTAACCCTAAATTTCCTACCTACCTACCCCAACCTTCACTTAACGATAACCATAAACCAACCCTAACCCCAACTTTCACCTCTCACTACCAACCAATAAACCAATAAACAGACGCGATTTGTTCGTGTTACGAGATAGAGACTCCCAGCCCCCAGCAGTCTTACAGTAGCGTAACATTGTTCTTGTAACAAAACGACGGAGAAGGAGCGGGACGTGCGGGGTATCTCGGTTATGACAACCCCAACGGTGCACAACGGGGACCTCCAGGAAAGCTGTATGTGTGTGTGTGTGTGTGTGTGTGTGTGTGTGTGTGTGT